TTCATAGTCTTTTTCTTTATGATGACTGTTTTTCCCATTAGAGTTCAAACAGAAGTTCGAGCGAAAGGAAAAAATATTTCTCTATTTTCCATTAGTATCGTATTTCATGCTTGCAAATAATGTCATTTCAGATGTCATCAATAATATATGAAACTAACGAACAAGTCGTAAATATATTCTATAATCGGAATTTAAACTTTTAAATCATATAGAATCGATATAATATGTTTCGAAAATTTCTCTTATATTAAAATCTTGTTCGTGATCTCTTTTCATGATTTTCCTTACTCTCTTCATGTTTCTATAAGGCATGGAATTTTTTTATTTTGCATATCGATATTGGTTATTTATATCCAAAAATTTTATTCATATTGTACTCTTTTATTATGAAAATCAAGGAAAATAAAACAGAGATGAGTTTAAGATGTAAGCTAAGTCTATATTCATGTGTATAATGTTTTATTTTTTCGATTGACAATTCTTGGCAAAAAAAAACAAATTAAGATTAGCAGGTAAATAAATCTTCTAATGTCAAACAATGTTTTGACATAGATTATTGTTGTTTTTTTTTCTGCAAAAATGGTAATATTGTTGTACCGACAAGTTTTTTTTTCCCGTTGACATATTTTATCTAGGAGAACAAAAAGGGAAATTGAAAGAGAAAGCAAAAAATTTTTTTCTACATAATTTATTCGGATATTGACATTCAGGAAATTGATGCTGAGTATTTTAGAATAAAAGATTCTTTTTCTTGTTTTTTGTGTCTTTTTTAGATTTGTTGTAGATTCAACAGACAATACATTATTCTATTTTCATTGAATTTCTAGATCATATTTTTCTTATTGAAAATGAATTTCTTGATATTTTTGTTTTTAGTATTTTCATTATTGTCAATCAATTGAATTACAATTACTTCGAATCATTGTTGATGAAAATTTTTTCTTAACTTTCTTAATATGTCCTATTGAAATAATTTATTGATATAGTTTATTATCAAGAGTAAGTAAATATAATTTATCAATAAGAATGTCTCCTAAGAGTGAAATCTAGACGAAGATTATACTTGAAATTAATATAATGTTAAAATCAATTAGGGCAAAATCGAGATTCTATTATTTAAAAGAAAAAATAATTTTTAATACAGAAATTTTATGAGATGTAGAACCATAAATGGTTTCCTTTTTTCTTAAATGAGTTATTTCTAAATATAGCTGAAAGTAATCTTTCTTCGACACTTCTATTCAGTGAAATAAAAGCTTTTATCTAGGTCTAGAAAAGTTCGACATTTTAATCATAGTAATCTATCGACTTAATACATGACAGTTGATCATGTAAGTATAATTATAATGAAAAAGAAAATGTAATATGCAGAATACAAATAAGCTAAAACGTATGTAAAACAGTAGCATCGATAGATGACTAATAAAGGATATAGAATAGAAAAAAATATAATTCATAGAAAAATGCATAGAATACTAATATATATACTACTGATCTACTTACAAAAAAACAACGGAATAACAGTAATCTAATTGCAAAATTCAAACTCAATGATCGTACGAGGGAACAAATCCTATTGTTGAACTTCATTCGATTTCATATTATAACTTGAAGTAGATTTCGGTGAAACTCATAAAAACTTTAAAGGATTCAGGCTCATGATCTAATAATGATGAAGAGTTATGGCCGTTTTAATGAAATTTTTATTGCAAGCAAAACATTTTTGAAAAACCCAAATCAAAAAAAAATTCGAGCGGAAATATTGCTTATAGGTATGCTTGATAGTCACTGGATAATCCTGAATATTAAAATTTTGAAATCTTTTTATTGACATTTTATCATTAATGTCATATAAAAAAACACTACTCGGAGTGAGATTTAAAAAATTGTATTTCTTTTACATAAATAATAAAAAGAAATCATTCATTAATGTTTATATTTTTGCTCTCTCTAGCTTGATCTATCACTTGCTTCTGTCGATACTTAGTATTTTGTTTTCCCCATCATTTGCTCGTATTTTATTGCTGTAATCATTCTTCATTGTTGTATTAATTGATTCTTCAATTCTAATTCATTGTCATATTGTACATGTCTCAATATTTTGTTAATACGCCAAATTTCGCATTGTCTATTTTAAGATCAATAGGTTCGTCAATGTCTTTTCATATAATTTCTTCGTATTTTGGTTTTTTTTTTTTGTTGTTCTATTACAATCATCATAGATAAAGAGATCATACAATTTTTTTTTCATTCATAATAGCATGGATAGGTTACAGTACGAAAGAATCATATGCAGAAAAGTAAACACATCACTCGTATCTTTGTAATAGTAACAAGCAAAAATTTGAAATTCTAGTATAGAGGAGATCTAAACATCTTATTTTTTACATCCGTTATCTCGAGAATGATATATTTGTTTGTTTAAATTGAAAATTTTAGGATTATCAAAATCTACTTCTCAACAAAATTTCAAGTTAGAACTTTTTGTTTTGAATTTTTAGGATGTCTTATTCACAATAAAAATTCCATTAAAACAATCATAACTCTTTATCAATAGGCTATGGAATCAAATCGTATAAAGTTTTACGCAGTCCCATCAAAATCGACTCCTAACCATAATATGAAGTCGAACGGTATGTCAGAATTGGATCAAGAATATACAATAAGTTTTGATTTTCTCTTTCAATATTGTTTTCTCACATGTTTCTATGTTGTTCGAGACTCATATTCCCAGTATATACACTCGATATCTAGGTCTATTCAATGTTAGAATTTCAGCTTTTGGCTGATTGTTATTATTATTATTATTACAGATATAAGTAACATCATAATCATAAGAATTTTTGAAATTATCATGACTGAAGGAAATTGTAGACGTTCGATTACCCACTCGCTATGAGTAACGTTTCCTTTTTTTTTTTGCATATAATTCTTTCGTTCTATAACCTATCCATGCTATTGTAAATGGAGAAAAAAAACTATACGATCTCTTTATCTCTGGTGATTGTAACGTGCAGAAACAACAAAAACAAAAAAGACGAAGAAATTGCATGAAAAGTTATTGACGAACTTATTGAACTCAAAATAGACTATGTGAAATTTGGCGAATTAACAAAATATTGATATATGAATTAGAACTGGAAAATCAATTACTACACAACAATGAAGAATGATTACAACAATAAAATACGAGCAAATGATGGGCAAAAAAAATATATTAAGTATTGACTGAAGCAAGTGATAGATGAAGCTAGAGAAAAATATTAATAAATAATTTTTTTTTCTTATTTGTTTAAAAGAAATTCAATTTGTAAATCTTCTTTCGAGTAGTATTTTTTATATAATATTAATGATGAAACATAAAAAAAAAAAAGATTTCAAAATTTTGATATCACTTATATATCTGTAATAATAATAAGCAAGAAGCTAAAATCTCTAGCATAGAGTAGATCTAGATGTCTAATGTATGTACTATGAATAGAAGAATCAGCCAATATAGAAACATATTGCATTAGTGCATCAAAACTTTGTTTTTTACATCCTTTTTGTCTCCTCATGAGTTCGTTTCATGGATACTCATGTTAGTTAAATATCTACACTAAGAGTATTGGATTAATATTTTAATACTAATAAACATTATATATTAATTAATGCAAATAGATACTCTAATATGACACTTCTGATAAGAATTAATCTTTGTGTAATCTATTAATGTTCTTAATAATTTCTTTCATCAAATTAAAAAAAAAACAAAGTCTGAAATTCTATTATAACTAAACAAAAGAAAAATAAATGTTTTAGTGATAAACTTTTCAGATAATCTACTGTCAATGTTCTTGTTGCATGCTTAAGATATTTCTTTTGTTTTTTTTAGAATAAAAGGCTATTGATCATCCGATGATAAATCATAACCATGATATTTATCATCTGATAATAAATCATAATAATTATATTTATTTATTTTTAACTGTTTATGACACGTGAAACAACATAAACATGTTTTATGATAATATTGTTTACTTATTTCATAAAAAACTTAATTTATCACAAAATGAACTTGATGAACGAAGACATAATTGTAAAGAAAAAAAAGTCTTTAAGCAGATTAATTAATTTAAAAGTTTTCTTTGTAGTTTTATTTCAATTGTAAATGACATGTATGTTTGTCGATTATCCACACTCTCGTCAATATCATAGATTTTAGTTTTCATTGATGTTAATTAAATATCTTTTAGATTGAAATGTTAGTGAGAGAGAATTGATTATTAGATGATAAAGATGTAGATTGCATGAGAATTGAATCTAAGAAACTTTTCTCTAGTATTTTATGTTTATTAAATAGTTGAAAAAGAAATTCTTGTTTTTTTTTCTTACATCAAATCTTTATATTATTTTTTGATGAATTTTTTTCCTTGTAAAATGATAAACTCGTTGAACTATCATTATTCTTTATTAATAACTATTCATTAGTATTATCATTTCTCGCATTAGAAATAATAATAATAATAATAATAATAATAATAATCTATCATTTATAATAAAAACAAGATTACAAAACAGTGCTTACATAGTATTAGATGTTCAATTATGAATAATTTGATCATTTTCATTATTATTTGCCAAAATTTTATACACATATTCATTAGTTATCATGATTTTCAATTTTTTAGAATGATAATAAATATTTTATATTGATTGTGATCTATTCAAATATATAAAAGACCTTACAATTAATTCATTTAATGTTCTTTTCTTTGAGATTAAATGACATTAGACATTAGCCAATGCAACTGATTCATTAAAGCAACAGGTTTTTCATCTATATTATTAGGTAAATCGATGCTAGTGCAAAGGAATTAGGAAAAGAACGAAGAAAAAAAAAACTTCTCCTTTTTCTTTTAGGTTCTTTCTTCATACCACATCTCTCTTTTCTTTCTGTTGCTGGAATAAAAAAATAAGAGACAAACACACTGACAGAACAACCAAATACAACAAGATCAATGGATAGTTATACTCTTAATGCAACAAGAATACTTGTACAAGCTATTTTAACAATAACCGCTGACGATCGTCATTCATCTAGTGTACAATCTGTATGTCAATATATTTATTGTTCATTTTCTCTAAATGATCAAGAAGATAATAATGAAACATGTCATGTTACAGCAACCAAATTATTTTTACCTGAAGAAGTACGACAACAAAAAAATTTAAATTTTATTTTATTTGTCAAATATATAAAACTCTATATTTATCCATTACTTATTTTCATGGGTATATTTGGAAATGGTTTATCATGTTTTATTATGTTTCTTAATGTTCGTCGTAATGGATATACAGCAAATCTTTATTTAGCCTTATTAGCATTTGTTGATTGCTTATTTTTATTAGGTAGTGCATTACCTGATTGGATATCTCATATAGACAATAAACTTGATATAAAACTTTTATCAGATTTTTGTTGTCGTTTTGTTTATTGGTTTGGAAATTTTATAACACATTTATCAGCTGGTCTTGTTGTTAGTATTACAGTTGAACGTTTTATTGCAATACAATATCCATTGATTGCTCATAAGATTCATACTGTTAAACGTACACATATGGTATTAATTATTTTAATAACTTTCTTCTTTTTATTGGATAGTCGAATTTTTATTCTTGTTAAACATTTAAATGACAGCATACATATTGTATTAACTTGTCATAATGATACATATATTACATATGAAAGACGAGATATATTACGATGTAGTCTAGCAAATGAAACTTATAAACAAATGTGGGTTTTGATTGATTTTGCTGTTTATAATTTAATACCTTTTTCTATTATTATTACACTTAATTGTTTAATTATACGTCGTTTAATTGATGCACAACGTTTAAGACAACATATGTTTCATCCTAAAAATACATCAACAAAATATGAAGAACAAAGTTCAAATCGAAATGTGTCTGACAATAGTCAAATAGTAACTGAAAAACATCGACGATTAAGACATTTTCGATCAATTCCAGCAACAGTACTATCACCAATTATATCTCGTCGATCAACAAGTAAGTCTTGAAATTCTTCAAAAAAAAAAACAATAATAATAAATTCTATTATTTAATTTAATATAGATCAACGTTCTTTACGTTCTACTATAAAACAATCAAGTGTATCAATTGAATCATCATTAGAAACTAAAATTCGTTCTCATTATCAATATGAAAGTTCTCTAATACGTCAAACAACAAATATAAATAATATGCGTTTAACAATATTACTATTATTTGTTTCCTGTTCATTTTTAATTTTAACTTTACCAGCTGTTGTACTCAATTTATTAATGTCAACAAAATTACAAAAAACAAAATCATTAACATTTAAAAATTATTTCAGTTCAACTGATGATAATTTATATTCGGATATAAATAATTATTATACAATAGCACGTTTATTAATGATTGTAAATCATTCAATAAATTTTATACTTTATTTTGTTGTTGGTAAACGTTTTCGTCGTGATTTAAAAAATCTTTGTCTTAAATATTGTAGACGATAATATAAACAAAGATATTTATATTTATTTTCAAACTTTCGAAGAATTATTTTCCTTAATAAAAACAAAAAAAAAAAAAAGAAAAACTTCGAAATAAAATAAATTTTTACGTTGTTTTGTTCATTTAAATTGTGATATTGAAAATGATTATGATGTTCGTTCTCTATTTAGTTTAATAAATGTTTGATAATTTGTTTTTCATAATTGTAAATGACATTGATCAAATTGAAAAATAATTCATATGTAAAACAGTTTTTTTTTTCTCAATTACAAAGCAATCATATATTGAATAAATTTCTTTTTTTGGCAATAGAAATGATATTTTGATAGAAAATTTATTAAATTATCATTCTATAAGTAGATTATTTTTATTTTTTTTTGGTTATTTTAAGTTGAACCATGTATAGAAGAACAATAGAACATTTTAAAATGTTTGTATAATTAAAACTTATTTTATATTTCAATTTTCTCATCATTTTAAATGATGAAGTAAACCACATCAATATCATTAGTAAAACTATATTTCTATACTCTTGTATACTCTTAAATTAGTAAGAGAGCGGACAAAATCTCTTGACAGTTTAAGCTTCTGTAGCAAGATTGGTCTTGTAAAACAAAAATATAATTATCTATTCTAATTTTTATTCAAAGATTCTATTGCTCCGATGTTATTACGATCGAATATACTATCACGAGTTAATGTATATTGAAAATGGAACAATGCATGTTGTTAACTCTTTTATTATATGACTGTTCGTGTTCCCTCAAATGCACCATTTGATTTCCTTCCTTTTCCCCCACACATGCTTATTATGCACTCTTCATTATCAGGTTTCATTTAGGTCTTCTATTTATCTTTACATGTCCATGAACTATAATCCATTAGAGAAAAGCAAAATATTGATATTTGCTTACATACGAACCCTTTCATTATATCCTAATTATATTAGAAGAGTTTTAATTACTAATTTAGCTACGTATAAAAATATATATACATGTCATCATGACTTTGGAGTTAATCAATCAGAATCATAAATAGGATTTTTCTTAGTTTGTTTTTTTTTCTCTCTTTGACATCTGTTTTGCGATATGCTAATCGCAATCTGAGAAAATCTACAATAATAAATATTTTCATTGTTTTTTAAACTTAGCTTCCGGCTAAGTATTTTCAACTAATGTGGAATAAAAATAGCAACTCTATGTTTTCTAATAATTGCTAATAGCTGTATGGTGTTTTTTTTTCGAAAGAACGACCGTCTATTGTAATGGTCAAGTTTTGAATATGTATTTATTTAGACATCTACTATATGCATGTGAAACTAATCATTTTTTTTTTCTTTGTTTATTTTAATATCTTCTGAATATAAAAGGGCAAATAGTTTTCATTTCCATCTATATAGATCAAATTAGCTGCTATTGTAAGATTGTATATAAGACAAATATGAGACCTTTACATACATAAACAATCCATATATCATCATAATCTTAGACATAAAAGATATCCATGTAGCTTTTAGAAATTCAATTAGTAGAAGACTCAATCTCCAGGAAATCCGCTCGGTGTCGTTTTATATTAAATCTCTATTGCGTATATCCAATTGGTAATTCCGTCTTTTCTTTTATGTGAGAATAATATATTTATATACCGATGAAAATGTTTCATTATTTGAATAATAAGCAAATGAACTACTGAATTTGACTATTGAATTACTATTATTTAAGTGTACTGTAAATATACTTGATGGACATTTTCTGTAATTCTGATTCATATTAGAAATATGTGTATAATAATTGAAGAATTATGATAGAAGATTGATATCTTCATTCATCAAGAGAACTGTTCCTTGATAAAATAAGATTATTTTGTAGTTTATGATTAAGTGATAAAGATAATTGATTCTGTATTACATCGAATAACTTAAATAAACAAACAAAAAAGATTGTTTGGAATCGAGTTTTATAACACAGAATGAAAGTGTACGGGCCGGTACCGATGAGAAAACTTCAGAAATTGATGGAACTTAAACGTAGTTATTTTGGCCTGAATACAATTCGTCCAAGTTCCATCAATTTCTGAAATTTTCCTGTGACATACGATGATTTACCCGGGTTCATGTTTATAAGATATACAATTTTTGTATAGAGAAAATTGATAAATACAGCGAATAGAGATGTATAAGAAAATTTTATAATCATATGCTTACTTTTAATTAACATGCTTATTTTTTTGTTCAAATCTTTAAGCCGGTAGCTATTTAATTTCAAGCATTATTTAATAAATATTCATAGCTACTCATTTATTATGATTATCTTTTTTTTTTTTTGTTGAACAAGCACAGGAAACATACGATATACATGCACAGCGTTCGATTAGAGGGGAGAAGCCGGGGGACTTCTCCTCACTGACTCTTTGTTATTGTTATTGCTTTCCCTCTGGAAATATTCTTGACGAGCATTCAGCGAAATTCTATTGCTTAACACTCGAATGAATGTTCAAAAAGGCACCAACTGTTTTACTTTTCCTACCGAATAATTTAGTGATCAAATGTGAACTATTCTTTTAACATTTGAACCAATTTCTACTAATGATCCTTTTCTTTCGTATCAGAATAAATTTTCTTTGAGTCTACATTACTTTCTTTTTGGATCTGGACTATATTCTCTTAACATTTGAACTGTTTTCTCTCAAATAGATACACTTTCTCTTTGAATCAGAATTACATTCTCTTTGGGTCAAAACTATTTTCTCTTTATATCTGAATTTTTATCTTCATATTCGAAATGTTTTCTCTTTGTATTAGAACTGTTTTCTCCTAAATAGCTATACTTTCTCTTTATGTCAGAATTATATTTTCTGTAGGGCGTAAATATTTTCTCTTTCAAATCGATTCAGTTTTAGAAGAAAAATAGCTTTGACACTATTGAAGTGAAAACTTTTCTTGTAGACGAAAATACTTATTTTCATTTACTTGAACTTTTTTACTGAAGAACTAACAAGAATAAAGAAAAGTACTGTGTCTATTGAAGACGAGATCATTTTGGGTTCCGTCTAAGAATATATGTTACTATAAAAAGGTTAAGCGAAAATTGTTTCTCTTTAGATTTGGGAGACTTTCTCCCTTAACTTTTACCCGCTCTCAGCAAAACCAAACGAAAACTATGCCTCTATGCATGTGCCTATTTGAAAACTTGATTTTCTTTATCGATACATATGCACACATCGTGTAGATATCTAACAATAGCAGATGATCCTTTGTCCGTCCATTACAAACTTAAATGCATGTACCTTTTTGTTATTAATATGACCAATTGAATGAGGGTGGCGTCGATCGTAAGTTCCTTTAATTGATGTCTTTTTGCTTTATTATGATCTGTTTAAACTTTTATATATCTCATTTTCATCTTCACTCACATATGAACGAAGAGTGTTTAGTCGTTTCAGTTTCAATTGAAAATGCAAATCGTTCCAAATATTTTATCAAGAAACAAATTATGTCTTTTATTTTTAGTTCATATGATCAATAAACATTTTATTCATATAGGCACCTAGACAATAAAATTATATTTCAATGAACATAGCATTTTTTTACGTTACTTCTTTTATTTAGTTTTTTCAAAAAAAAAGATAACCAAAGAAAAAACTATTTCTTTAAGTAGATGGAGATGATAGCCATGACCTAAAATTAAAAAGATAAGTCTTTTGACTAAATTGCATTTTAACTTACGAAAGCAGATACTAATATATGTTTAAAATGGGATATATGTTGAGTATGTTCATTTATTCTAGTACACAATTGTATCATACCCTTATTCAATTGTTCCATAGAAAGATTCAATTTTTCCATACCATCATTTAACTTGTTCATACTCTGATTAAGTTGAACCATGTTGTCGTTCATACTACGATGGCAATGGTTTAGCTGATGTTCCCCCTCATCAAAAGTGTTCCACTATGTAATTTTAAAGTTACACAGTGGAACACTTTTGATGCGGGGGAACACCAGCTTTAATGTTACCAGTGGAACACCAGCTAAATCATTACCGAAAAATGCTATTCGGATCAAAAATGAATCTTCTTTCCATTCTGTTCATATAGAACGTCCGTCATATATCTAAACGCATATGTATACACATTTAATTCGTAGCTCATTATTCTATTCATTTTTCCGCTGGATAACTGTATCTATATCTATATATAGAGATACAGTACAGTATTGAAGAATTTTTCCTATAGAGGAATTATCTTTTCATTTTTCGATATCGTTTTTTCGAGAGCAATGTTCATTTTTTCGGATGAATAAGTGTCTTTATGAAGAAACAGCTATCTTGAAAGTTTTTCTATAGGTGAAATCAATTTCCATTAGTCGATGTCATTTTTCCTATAGCTTTTTTTTAGTATTGTATGAATTGCAGTTTTAACTGTTCGATAAATTTTTGGTGTTGTGACTTTATTCAGAGAAGCATTTTTGATTTGGACGTCAAAATTCCGGTGAAAATTAACATTTTTCACACCAATCGAATTGTTGGCCAACCCTCGAAAAGTAATACTCAACATCATTTTTCTAATGCTTATGAAATTATTCCATTTTTCCTTATACATTTTTTCTTATAGTATTATGCATTTTTCTTATTGATTTTCACTTTTTCTGAAATTAGAAGCTACGAGTGAAGAGATACGTATAAAATTAATACTACACATCATTTTTGTAGTGCGGAACGTTTAGTGGTAGACCATTGTTGATGTTAGTGCTATTTTTCCGCTGCAAAGTAGCATTTTTATCACTGATGAATCGAGTGTCGGACCCTCTCCTTTACTTATCTACATTGTCAACGTTTTCACGATACAGATATTTTGACTATACACGTGTGTTTTGATAGACATCCTCTATTCAGGTTGCAATCAACGCATGTTTTACTAAGGATATTTATATCACAAATGTATCACTACATACGTTGAAAGAGAGAGAAAGAAAGAGAAAAGTTATTTTTGTTTTGTAAATAATTCTGACGCAGAAATATTTTTAATGATTTGCTTACCTGAGAGAAAAGAAAAATAGATATATTTTAATCGTTACACTTACGATCATTTTATTTGCTGCAGAATGCTGTTAACTGCAATCCTTCTACTATCAATCATAGTAATACTCACTGCATATTTGTGGACTTTAAAATCGAGCTATGATTATTTCAAACGTCGTGGTATTTCTGGTCCATTACCCAGCTTTTTCTTTGGTCACTCTCGAATTCTGTGGTCTGTTGAATCTGTTACTCGTCAATTGCAGACATGGACGCATCAATTCGGTTCCATCTATGGTCTTTTCGAAGGTGCTCGTCCCGTTTATGTTGTGTCCGATCCTGAATTTCTCCAGGAAATCTTTATAAAACAATTTTCATCATTTCATTCACGACATATTCCTTTTGTTATTCGATTACAAGCTCGAAACAAAATGCATTTGTTTAATGCCAATAGCCATCAATGGCATCGTCAACGACTCGTTATTAATCCAACATTTTCGGCTGCAAAACTCAAACTTATGACACCTTTAGTTAATGAATCTATCGAAGCATTTATGAACAAATTGTCAGAAAAATGTGAAGAACAAAAAGAATTTAATGTTTATCTAATTTACAAACGATTGACTATGGACGTAATTTGTAAGTAAAAAAAACCAAATGCAACACTATTCCGAGATAGACTCGAAATTTTAAAACTCACATTTAGTCCTCCTCAAAATAGTTTTGAGATTGTCAAGAACTTCAAAAATTTTAATTTTTTTCATCTACTTTTATTTGAGGTCGATGCGCATTCGGAATCAATACAAATATGCAAACGGATAAAGACAACGAATACATGCATAAAGCTGAGCTTCTTACGAAAGAAAATTTCGAAAAACATCCTTTGATTCGATTGAGTTATCTGATGCCATGGCTTATCCCCATTCTCTCTCAAATCGTTATTGGTCAAGCTATCTTCATGCGTATTCTACATAAATGGAAGAAAACTGCTGAAGAATTGCCGCGCTTTTGGTTTGTTGATCGTTTACATCATGTAGTCAATGCAAGAGCATCGTTAGATGAAACGGAACGTCGCATTGATCTCCTTCAACTAATGCTCGATGTTGCTACTTCAAATGAAATCAAGGTTAGTGTGTCTATTGCTTAAATTGTAATCAATTTTTCAACGTAAATACAATATAGGATGATAATAATAGTGATGTCATACCGAAAAAGCTTCAGTATGAAGAAGTCGTCAATAATGCATTTTTGTTTATGATTGCTGGTTATGAAACAACATCAACGGCACTCACCTATTGTACGTATATTTTGGCAACACACCCTACTGTTCAAGAAAAACTTCGTAAAGAAATTGAAGAATATCCAGATAACAACGAAAGTGACTATGATCGAGTTCATAATATGGTCTATCTAGATTCGTTTATACGAGAAGTTTTACGAATGTTTCCTATTGCACCTAAAGCTACAACAAGGGAATGTAATACAACAACGACTGTTTGTAGTTACGTCATAGAAAAAGGTCAGTTCAATTCTTTGAAAAAATATTTTTCATTTAAATCCGAAAATACAACTTAGGAAGTGTCATTCAACCGGATATGCTTTCGTTGCATTATGATCCAAATTTATGGGGTCCTGATGATCCAAATTTGTTTATACCTGAACGACATTTGACTCGACGACATCCAGTTGCATACATGCCATTTGGTCAAGGTCCACGCAATTGTGTTGGAATGCGATTTGCACTAATGGAAATCAAATCGTGTTTGGTTCATCTTCTTACTCAATACATTATCTTGCCTGGTGATGAAATGGAACAAAAATTCAAAATTCTTGATGTACATTTCGTTCGTCAGCCAGAAGCTCTCTATATTAAGCTTGCAAAACGCTTTTGAATTCATTTTCTTTGTTTTTTCAAATAAAAATAATATTGATTTTTATTTCAAAAAGCTAGTTTCTGGGTTGAAGGAGATAACAATTGATGAAATATTGCGTTAGCGACAATGGTTGCTTCTGCAATGTTATTGCATTAATAATTGACGTGAAATTATTCTCGATCTGATACCTTTCTCGTTTTAGCTGGTTACTTCATTAGTAGAACAGCATCTTGAATATTAGTGTTTATGGCTGTTCGATGTTCACATTTTGATGGAAACATAAAGCAAAATTAAGATTTGTCTTATTTCGATGACAGGTTAAATCACTTTCATCTTTAAAACAATGTCAAATAAATATACATTCCCTACAGAAAAAATGATGATTCCAAGGGGGACGGTGACAGATGTCGGATGCGCATAAATATTAAAATAATGCTAATCGTTAAGCATTAGAATTAACATTAATTAATACTAATGCGACATCCCTATTTAAATTCATTTATTTTTAATATAACTGCAAATAGTCTTCCATTTGGTACTCATCGTATACGTTCTATTGATATTGATCAAATTACTGTTTCAATTATATTACATTATAAACTCGATAGAAAATTTCATCAATTAGAATTACAATATGAGATTATACTGCAATTGATGATAATAATAATAAAAAAAGTTATTTAACAAATGAATTAACTCGACATATTATTGATATAGATGATCATGAAATGAAATTTGATAAAAATTATTATTCGATAAATATAAGCGAATCAATTCGACTTGATAATATTAGATTTCAAGTGAATATAACAAGTAAAGATTCTATTGTACAAGAAAATAGAATATTTTATTTAATAAATTCATCAGATTAATTTTTTTATTAATGAACAAACAAGAATAATTTGTTTAAAAAAAATATCTTCGATCAATAATTATGAATTTTTGTATTAACAAAAAAAGCATTTGAAAATGAAATTAATTTATAAAATTTATTTATGGTAATAATATTTTATTTTATTTACATCACAAATATCATTGTATTATTGAAGCAGATACAATTATTTGCACATTTTAAATATATTCAAATGAATTTATTTATGAATTAATTCATCAAATCAAGATTTAAAAAATTTTTCAAAGTAATCGAGGGTATGGGTGTCGGTCTCCTTCTCGTTTTCATCCATACCCCAATTTAATTTCTGCAAAATTTACAAATAATATTATGCACATCAGATGTGCTCATCAGAAATGATTCAACATCAATTGAAGAGGGAACATCTTCTGCTGCCTCCTTCCGATTTCAATGATTTCTTTTTGTCTATAGATGCTATATAATGTTCTAATAAAGACTCTAAAACGATTTGGATTTCTATTGAGATTTGACTAAGCGATTAAATTTTTAATATGTCTACTTTCTAGAGAGCCAAGATTTTAGGAAAATTTTTATTTTCGAATTTTGAACTGAAACTTTATGTATATAGAAAACTCAGCTAGACTAACTTCCTTAATAAAATTTAGGAGCTTTGAACAAAAGCTCTTCAATGTATGAAGCTTTCAAAAAATACACGTTACATACACTATATATAGAAAAAGATCTGTATCTTGAATGTCTCATATCTCAAAGAGACTTTATGGAAAACTTATGAATTTTTTATGAAAGCTAATCTATTTGAGTTCTCTATATGCCCAATGTTTCAGTTAAGATGTTTGAAACAAAATTAATAAACAATTTTGTTACTAAAGCGTAAAACGGTTAACTACTGTTTGAATCTATACTTTCAATCAATACCTACCAAGACGAGTGAAATTTCAGTTTGTTCAAGAAGTGATTCCATATCATTAGTATGGATTTGAACATTTTGTGATCTAGACACTGTATCAGTAGCAGCTAGAAGACATTGAATTAAATTATTAAATCGGATAATCGCTTGATAATAACCATATTTGTAGACAAGATATTTCCATGTCACTTCGGCATAAGTATTTTGAATGTGAAAGATTAAACTAGAATTGTTCGATTTTATTGTAACATATGGTGAAAATATTAAAACTCTATCGGAAAAAGCGAATAATGAAAGAGCCAGCTTCATAAGTGCACCATCGGGATTGATATGTTTCATAACATGATGAGCCATAGCCACTGATTGTTTGTCATAGAGATGGCTACAAGCGTTCAAGAAAGGTTGATGAATGTAGAGTTGAGATTGATTCTAAACAAAGATTGCACTTAAAAAAACGACACTTTCAGCTGCACTACGAAGAAATCCAGATCGGGTATCTGACGGTAAAATTGCAAGATTACCATTGGCACGAAGATATACGCCTGATGTTTCGTATGTTTCTTTGAAAAATTCTGCCGTCAGTGTCGGATTTCTCATCTCAATGATTTGTAAAACATTATTTTCGTTCATTAAAAGTTGAACAATAGAAAGAAGTTTCGACTCATCTTCACTGTGAATCAAATTTGAAAGAATTCAATAATGACTTATCCGATTGCAAAAGATTTAATGTTGTTAACTAGAAAGAAATCAACAGATGATTTATTTCTATCAACTTCCTGTTAGAGATAAAATATCATCGAGAAATCGGTTTTTTCAAGAAAAAAAATTTCATAATTTTCGAGTGTATTCAAAATCGAAGAAAGAATCTAACCTGTTGTGGTTGATCTC